AAAGGGATAGTGCTGTTAGTCTGGTATGATCATTGTATATAGGTCACCATGTGGAAAGAATTTGTTCTCTAAAGGAAAAAAAAAAAAAAAAAAAAAAAGGAGAGAAACAGTTCCAAGGACATCTATCTCATGCCTTTCCTTTTCCAGGAAGTTCTCCTCCTTGTTTCTTCCTTCTTCTTGGCTCTCCTTGAAAATCTTGGCAGAGGTGAGAAGATGATCCTGATACATCAGCCAAGTTGATCACTCCCTGGCTATGCCGTGATTGCTGTGTGAACCTGGACTGGTCCCCTAAGCTTCAGGCTATTCATCTGTTTTAAGAATCTCTTTCTCTGAGCCTGTGGTGAGACGCTAGAGAGAAAAAAGAAGCACCCAGTATGACTCAGCCTTTGGTTACACATGGGATGAAATCTTGTCTACCACCCCCCCACTGCCCCCCCACACCTTCTAGAACTAGTGGGGCTCCTGATCCTGCCAGTGCTGGGGTTCCCCCATCTCTGAGGAATGAGATTAGCATTGTTTTGCCCTGTGCAGTGACCGCCAGCCTCTAGAGCATTTTTTTATGCCTGAGAGCAGGTGTCCTGGGGGTTGGACCTGCATCCCTCCCTCAGGACCTTCTTGTCTCCTGTCTCCCAGCAGCTGCTGCACTCCAGCTCACAGTCATACAATTAGCCCCAGAAGGGCTTTCTCTTCTCAGGGGTTCTCATCTCACAGCTCAGGTGCCTTTATTTGGGGAGCCTTGCTCAGTGAAGTGCTTCATCAACACCACATCTACCCCCACCTATGCACTCGCCTGTCCTCCCATTCACTAGTCTACCCAGCATTCAGTGAGCATCTCCAGGTGCTGGCTAGACACTGGGAAATCCACAAAGTCCCTGCCATAGAGTCTCCCACAGTGGGAGAAACATGGTAAACAAGCAGATGGGTAGAACAAATAAGATCACTTTGGATGGTGCTCAGGACTATAGAGAGGATGGAAAGGGGTTATTGGTCAGCCACTTGGTCTCAGAGCAGAGTAGGAAAATTTGAGGACTCGCTGCCTGCTAAGGTGGGTTCTTTCCTGGGTTGGAACCCAAAGGCAGCTACTGAAGGGAAGGGTCACATCGCAGACTCTCCAAGAAGTCCCTGGGTGTGGCAGCACCAAAGGTCCTGGCTGATCCCAGCAGCTGCTATCTTGCCCTCCCTGAGTCATTCCTTAGTCTTACCAGGTTCTCTGTATCTTGCATCTCCTGCCTCTAGAGGCAAAGAGAGGAACTTCAGGAACTCTTCCTGGGTCCACCAGCTTCTCCCAATTATTCCTCCCAATACTCCTCCTTTCCAGACGGTTCTCCCACAAAATATGATGAAACACTTTCCCAGGAGCAAGGCCAACTGAACCCCAGAAGTCCAGCTGACCCTCAGCTTCACACCCGGCTGCCCTCTGAGACTCTCCTCAGTCCTCCCCTTCCCTGTCTGCGGTCCTTGCTGACATGGTCTTTCTGTGTCTCAGCGTACATTGTCATATATACGTCCTGAACATGATCTGGACATTCATTTCCTTCAAATAAATACTTTTCAAAAAATATATGTTGATTGCTGGGCGCAGTGGTGCATGCCTTTAATGCCAGCACTTGGCAGGCAGATCTCTGTGAGTTCATCTCTCAAATCTAACTCCCTCCATCTAGCATCCTCCCCATTTCACCTGTGTAACCCCTGAGTAAGGGCTGACCTCACAGTCTGACAGACCTGGGGCTAGGTCTGCTCACTGGACCCTCAAAGGCTTCATTTCATCATCTGTAAACAGTCTCCTGGGGCTGTTGTGAAAATCAAATAAGACAAAGGATGTGGAAATGTGTCCTGCTATTAGCAAGGCTCTTTACTGTTAATGGGGGCTCTTCTGACAACAAATGACAGAAACCCAACTCCAAATGGCTTAAAGGGAAAGTCAGACATTACTAGAAGCAGAATCTGGATGGAGGGGTTTGAGTGATGACTTTCAGACTCTGTCTTCCTGTCTCCATCTGGTCTCTGTTGTGTGTGGTCCTCACTGTTTGAGAGACTCTTCCTTCAAGTGGCAAAGTAGCCCCCACCTTTCTACCATCCAAGCAACTCCAATGAAAACGGGGACCCTGCTTCCCATGGTGCCAATAACATTCTGGGATTATATGTCAGCAGATAAGGCTGTCCTACATCCAGGCTCAGGTCACGCACTATCACCTGGAGCTGAGGAGGAGGTGATCTTCCCATCCAGGCCAGAAAGACCATGAGGAGGAAGGGAAGGGAGGGAAAGTCCTCCTAAAGAGCTATTATCATGAGAAGTAGAAACAAGGGGCAGGGAAGAAAGAAGCAGACTTTCTCTTAGCTCTCAGGGGTCTGCTTAGGTGTCTTAAAAAAGAAGCTTTAGCTGCCCCCCAAGGATATGTTAAGCACCTCTCCCTCTTGCTTCTATGGCACCTCACCCTCTCCTACACTCATCATGTTTATTACAATAGTCTGTTTACTTGCTCGTTGTCATCACAAGATTTTAGGTATTGAGAAGACAAACCTAGTGCCTGTCTTGCCTGTCACTGTGCCTTCAATATTGACAAATGCTATGCCCTTAGTCAGTGGTGGGTGGGTAGGTGGGTGGGTGGATGGGTGGGTGGATGGATGGATGGATGGATGGATGGATGGATGGATGGATGAAAGAGCAGTTAGATGTATGGATAACAGATACAAGGGTGGATAAATGAGTAGTAGGAAAAATGATGAATAGGTAAATGGGTAAATAAATGAGCGAATGCATGGGTGAAGGGTAAATATTTGGGTGAATGGGTGATGGGTGAAGGGACGGAAGCATGGATAGGATAGATGGAAGGAGTGGGTGATTTGGAAAAAAACTGATGAGGTCAGTTTCAAGTTGCTGAGTTGGAACTACCTATGAACCAACAAACCCCTGCCCCTCAGGTTGGTGGTAGATGAACCTAGAGATCGGGACACATATCTAAGGTTGAGGAATGATTAACATAGAAACTGCAGTGGTGACCCTGGAGTGAGTCAGG